AAACCCCAGATACTAAGTTTTTTGGCGGGAAAATCTGGACACGCTTAAAAAGGGGGTAGCCTTTGACCTTTTCAAGTCAAAAAGCGATAGGGGGGCCCCCTTGCGGCCACAAACTGTTAGCAAAATCTCTCCGCCAAAAAACTCACCAACATCGGGTTTTTTTCAGGGCCAAGGGGGAACAGAACTCTGCACAAGAAATGAAAGAACAAAATCAAGTTTCAATCGACAATTTATTGAGCGAAAACTGCATACAAAACAAAACATTACAATACGTCGGATGCACAAGGTTCGAAGTGAAAATGAACATGCATTTCAATTACAAAGTGTCAAAGCACGGAAACATTAACGCTAAATACTGTTTACAAGTCAACAGAGTAAGAAAACATTTGCAAGCAACTATGTTAAAACAGAAACATACAGCACGTTACTGTTTCTCCGAGGCTTCTGTCGAGGCAGCGACCAGAATGAAGACTGGAACTTCGTTGCATTTCCTGAAAAACAACAGAAACCAGTATTAGTCGTGCTTTCTGTTACAAACAGGATCTCGAAATCATCCCAACTCATTAGATCGAGTTGCTGTGTTGACTAACAAGTTCAGAAGATGAAACGGTTTAAACAGATTAAACAAAGCTGAAATAAAGCGCTTAGCCTGGTGTAACAGGAAATTTTCCTGTTTAAAAAATTATTGAAGTACTCTGATTTAAATTGCAAGCATACCGAATGCACAACACAATCAATACAGCTACATGTGTATTTATTAGATAGAAACTACCACATTCTAATGAGATTTTTGTTTACGATTTCAATTTTGATTATCGTATTCTTTTCCTGAAACAACTTAGTAAACGGGCGCACATTGATTCCAAATTTTTATAGGCTTAGTTGTTTTAATTGACTTGATGCACTGTGGAAACCAAAACGGTTTCTTAAGAGTCCGTTTAATGCGGATCAAAAAAGCTCAGTTTAAACAGAAATTGCTTTCAATAAACAGCAGAACTACAGTTTTGTCGGGTCAGAACCATTTCTGCCGTTGAGTCTAATCTATCACCACTTAGTTTGAGTCTTCTTTAGACAAGATGCATTACGTTTTCCAACAACAATTTTATACTTATTTCAATATATTTCAATTTTATACTGTATTTCAATATGATACGTGTAAACTTTATACTTACATAGATAATTCCAGCAGCTGATCCAAGCATGTCCTGCCCGAAGACATCAAACTAGAAACACAAAAGTACATTTATTTAAACGGTCATTTAAAGATAATTTAAACCAACGTTTCTTAGTAGCACACGGCTTTTTCACTAGGACAGACAACGGAGAAT